GCAACCTCAGGCATCAATTTGTTCGGTCAAGGTTAGTAAGTAATCACGTGACACTTCTCTTCCGAAGTTCCTCCTTCAGTTCAGGCCGAGCGCTGAGAAGCTCTCAGGCACTTGTGAGTGAGAAAATAACCTAGAAGAATCTGCCCTAGAATTCAAGCTGTGGAATTCTCCACAGGATCTCAAAATCCGTATAATCTGTCATAAGCCAATGTGGAGGCCCCGCAGCGAGGGGCAGAGGTCACGTGACAATGTGCGGGACCCTCGCTAATTGGAGATTTGCATGACGAGTGTGTTCGAGGCTCATGGAGGCTTGACGGCGAGCAGTCACTGCGACAAGCGAGCGTCTGTAACGAATCCAGCTGGAAGAATTGCATTGTGACGTTCTCCACACAATGATCCTTAAAGAGACAACCCGGCTGGAGCTGCCGGCGGCGGCCGACATGCACGTTCACCTTCGCCAAGGCAAGATGATGGAATTGGTTGTGCCGCAGATTCGCAAAGGAGGCGTCGATACCGTTTTTGTTATGGTTCGTCCTGCCTATTTCTGGAGGACATGGCTCTGGTGGTCGACTGCTAACTCCGACAGCCCAACCTGGTCCCTCCCGTTACCAGCGTTGCCCAGGCGCTGGAGTACAAGGCGCAGTTGCAGGCCATTGAGCCGAACGTGAACTATCTCATGTCGCTGTATTTGAATATACGTCTCTCGTCTCTCTTGCAGTGAGATAGTCTTTGCTGACTGGTCCTTACCAATCCGTTACCCCCGAGACCATCAGAGAAGCTGCGGCGGCTGGTATTACCGGTGTCAAGGTGTATCCCCAGGGTAGGTCGACCACCTCTTCTTTCCAGGCTGCTTGTTGACGTGTGCAGGCGTCACCACCAACTCCGCAGCCGGCGTGCGCGACTATGACGAATTCATTCCCGTCTTCGCGGAGATGGAAAAGCACGACATGGTCCTCAATCTGCACGGCGAGGTCCCCGGCTCGCCCGGCTCGGACATCACCGACATGAACGCTGAAGAAAAGTTCCTCCCCACCCTCAAGATGCTCAATGAGAGGTTCCCCAAGCTGCGCATCATCCTCGAGCACTGCAGTACCGAGGCTGCCCTGGAGGCTGTCCGCTCCTGCTCCTCCTCTGTTGCGGGTATGTTTTGGCTTCTGTATCGGTCTATATGCGTGCGACTAATGACTGATGTAGCGACTATCACCGCGCACCATCTGTACCTCACCCACCACAGCTGCGAGAACCCGCTGGCCTTCTGCAAGCCCCTCCCCAAGACCTCCAAGGACCGCGATGCGCTGCTCCGCGCGGTCTGCAGCGGCGACCCCAAGTTCTTCTTGTATGCACCTACGCACCCCCTCTTTATTTCAAAGCATTGCTGACGTCGTCCAGTGGAAGCGACAGCGCCCCCCATCCGCGGATCGCCAAGCAAGGCGGCGCCGAGGGAACGGCCAAACCGCCTGCGGGTGTTTTTACCCAGCCCTGCGTTGTGCAGTATGTGCTTCTGGCGCTGGAGGAGGGCGTCGAGCGGGGTGTCATCGCCAACGAGGATATTACGCAGGAGAAGCTGGCGAATTTCCTCAGCGTCTATGGACGCCGGTTCTACAAGTTGCCCGAGGCAACGGAGCGGATTGTGCTGGAGCGGAAGGGGGAGGTCATTCCCGAGAGTGTGAAGAGTGAGGATGGGAGCGTGGAGGTGGCGCTGTCCCGGGGGGGAGATGAGGTGTTTAGTCTGACGTGGAAGAGCTCGTAGGGGTATTGCGGTGATCCAAAAGACTCGGAGAAGCTGGAAATACAGGATATTCTTATGAAATGGGACTGCAGATAACTACAGGTACTGACTACTACATACATCATGACATAAGCCTCGGATCAACAGAGCTTCTGCCGTTAAAAATGCGCTGCCGCGGGGGTGCGTTCCCCGTTGACGATGGGCTCTGAGCTGCTATAAACCACCGTCAGAGTTGGTTGAACAGATTCAACTGCGGTATGTAATTGTGAATATGTGCAGAGGTGTCCTATACACGACTGGAAACGCAGTATATACAATACAATACAATTCTACCACGACTTACTCGGTCTTTGCGGGCAGAACGGGAAAATCGGCCTCCACACCATCGATACCCTCCTTGGGGGGACCAGCATAGTTGCGGTAACCCCAGACCAAGTACCAGAGCCCAGCAATGGCGGTGAACCCGACGAAGACGACACAGGCGTAGTTCATGGTCTCGAGGGTGACGACCTTGTACGTGGGCATACAGAACAGAGGAATGGCCAGAACACTCCATGCTGTAGACCGTTAGTAGGGACTCTGCGCGACCGGAGCGAGCGACTTACCCAGCGCAACCACATTGCAGATACTGCCGATAATACCCAGGTTGAATCTGGCGTTGGCAATGTCCGCGCGACGACGGAAGAAAAACGAGACCGCAATCGGGCAAGCGTAGCTGAGCGTCAGGAAAATGACACCCACGCCGGAGAAGGCGTTGAATGCGGCGGTGGAGCCAAAGTAGATGGCACCGAGCGCAATCTCCACCACCATCCCCAGCATCATCGCGTTGAGAGGAATGTCCAAGCTCGTGTTGACGGTCTTCCACCACTTGGAACCGGGAATACCGCCGTCACGCGCAAACGCCCAGGTGCAGCGGGAGGCCGCCGTCACACATCCCACACCGCAGATGATGCCGAGAATGAGCAGAGGGAGAAGCAGCAGGAAGGCTCCGGTCGAGCTGCCCAGAGCATCCTTCAGGATCACGGGAGTGGGCTGACCGGAGGCCAGGCTCACCAGCATCGTGATATCGGGCAGGACAAAGGTCAAGGGCAGCAAGAAGCCCAAACCGGCGACAAAATTCAGCACGATGGTCCATACCATGGCTTTGGGCACCTGAATGGCAGGCTCACGGACTTCCTCACACATACTATACAACATTAACGGGACAGATCATAAAAAGAGAAAGGAAAACTCACGAGATGATCATGCCAGTTGCCGAGGTGGCGTATGCGGCCTGCAACAAACCGATACAGAAAGACCAGCCGGCGGGCCAGCCGGACTGGGGCTCAAAGTCGGTGAATACCCACTTACCAGAGTGTCGACCATGTTTGGCGACGACGAGGACGCTGACGATCAGGGCAATCAGGCCGATCAGGGTCAAAAAGATGGCCGAAGTCTAGATGGGAGACGACGCATGAGAAGGGCGCATTGGGGGAGTCAAAATACTGGATCGCGACTGAAGAAGAAACATACCTCCAAGATGGGGAGCCATTTGTTGCCTAGGGAAGAGATCGCATGGGTCAAGAGGGTGATGGCGAGGAAGATGAGATAGATCTGGTAGGTCTGTATGTCATCTACAATCCCGACACCGGGCGCGGATTCGAAGACATTGAGACAGGCGACGAAGAATAGGGTAGTCCCAAAATTTACAGCCAGGGTAATGGTGATGTTGCCGAGGACATAGGCCCATCCACAGATCCAGGCAGCTGCGCGACGGCACCAGGCGGGCGATAGGGCAAAGGTTTGGTAGTAGACGCCACCGGCAGTGGGATAGACGGAGGTGATCTCGGCCAGCGAGATGGCTACACACAGGATCACGAGGGAAACGATAATCCAGCCCCAGATGATGTTGGAAGGGCCTCCTGCCGCGAGTGGGTAGAAGAAGGTGGTAGCCAGACCGTAGGGGACGGAGGAGAGAATAAAGCACATAAAGGCGACCTGCAGGACTGAACGGTTGCGGGAGAGTTCTGGAGTATAGCCCAGATGCTCTAGGATGGCGTCTGCCGAGGCTTTGTCGGTGCCAGTCTCCATGTTGGTGGTGGATGTGGTGGAAATGGTGGAGGAAGGAGGGGTTCCGGGGCTTGTCGCGTGGGGTAAAAGGATATCAGGTAGGTCGATGGAAAGAAACGACGTGGGACACAAAAGATTTGTCTGCGTCAGAGAAGCATACTCATATATACAACGGTCCGGGCTGGTTAGACTGCGTTGGGCCTTGAATAGGGAGTATCGTGAGAGCTGCGATGGACAGAGGGCGACGCTGACAGTTATTAAATGATTAAGGATGAAAAAAATTTGAGGAAGCCAAAAACAGCCAGATTTAGACTCTGCCCACGTGAGAAATAGCGCAGAAGAACAGAAAGAGAATTAATTAATGTCTTAAGCAAGGATACAGCGGGGCATGATTCGACGAAAGCAAGGTTTGTGAGGGACTTGGGCTTAAGAGACAGCCACGAGGGAAGAAGGGGATGATTGGAGCAGAAAGAGCCCGACACGGCATGAATGACGACTGTGGAACACGCTCGTTTAATTGCCTCAAGGCCATTTGCTGCGTTCATGGCTCCAGTTCCACCTGACGGAGGCTTGGAGATCCACCGTGACAGTCTGGTCTGGAGATAGCCGATGTGCATTGTTGCTTGTATTTTTTTGGGTTGAGAGTACGGAGTAGGGAGCAGATAGGAATAGGATTACCTATTCAAGGAAAGATTTGAGTACGGACTAATAACTATCGAGGGAACATCTTGTAACTATCTGTTAAGTCACGTAAGGGAATAATATAAGAGTCCCTGGACGATTTTGCCTGTTTGGGAATAGAGTTGCACCCAGTGTTTTAGTCTGAGTTTGAGAGGAATAATGAACCACGTTACGGCTTACCAGTACTTATCTAGGACTCTAGGACTCAGACTAGGACTGGACAGTAAAAGTATCTGGCAGAGGGGACGATTTAATGGCGCATGGAAAAACTCTGCTGATTTCTGATCGTATCGAGCCAATCAGATCCCCCCAACAGAAGCGGACTGCATGGACCAATCATCAACCAGAAAGGGCAGTCTTGATAGTTGCTAATGGATAGCCTCGGCTGCACCGTTGAGACATTAATCAATTACATCAGTGAATCAAGTGAAATGCCAAGTGGCACGGTATACAGAGTAGATAATGAGCAGGTTAAGAGGGAACTAATTTTTCTCTTTCTCCGCTCGATTGAATACCATAACTTCTGACTACCAACTGTCCGTTAAAGGACCATTATCCCAATAGCAAGAATCAACAGTGTCATCCATGTCTCGACATGCGCGCGGAGTGACCCCGTACCAGAGGCACTGGTGACGGCCTGGAGCGCAGCGCTCTTCACCGTACTTGAACCAGCAGCGATCGTCGCAGTGGAGGTCGCCGTCGAGGTCGCAGTCGAGTTCGTTATCGACTGTTTCTCCACTACTTTCTTCGACATGCCCTTACTGAACAATGGAACTGTATCATTCTTGGTCCATCCGCACTTCTCGACAGTCGGCCAACCATACAACGGATCCTGCCAATCGTCGAAGAGCACGCTGCTAGGAACCAACTCGAAGCGATTGCCCTGCTCGTCCATGCCATTCATATGAAGACCAAACTGGTAGTCGACATACGGATATTCATGTGCGACCCAGAAATAGGCCAGCGCGCAGGTCCAACTGCAGTCACAATCCGGATAGTAAACACTGCTCTGGCCGATATAGCAGTATGATCCGTCACTAATGCAGCAAAGAACATGTCAGTACGAGTCCCTTCGGTGGCGTATCAGCGACATACTCATCCTTGGTGCAGGATCTCATCAGGGTATATTGCAGGATATGTCCCAGCTTCACCACTGGCACAAACACCTTGGCCCCGAGGTCTTCCCAGTCTTTAGTCTTTAATGCTGCGTCGCTGGCCTTGTTGCAGGTCTTCTCGACGTTCGCGACATACGCCGACAGAGACGACTGGCAGGTGGCCGTGCAGGTGCGGTCAAACGAGGCCGAGTCATAGTCGGGGAGCCACCACCGGTCTTCCTTGGACACGACCAGTGCGAGCAGAAAGTCGTCGCAGTCGATGTTCGCACTGTAGGCGTCCTTGCATTCTTGCGAGGTGGTGCTGGACAGGCTGGCGGTGGTGTAGTTCCAGTACTTGGTGGGGGTATTCAGGCTGAAACTCCACACTGGGACAACGCCAATCGCCAAAAGGAGTGGAAGGAGAGAATACATTTCAAGGGCGGTTATCAAGTGACCCTCTGAAGGGCGCAGATTGACTGGTAAAGAGTGACTTGGTTAAACTGAAGGACAGTGACTACATGAACCTGCGTCCGTACATGATGGTGCCAGATCAGTGATGAACCACCAGGGGCACGTCTCCTACTTATGACCGACTCAGGTTACATCCTGTCAACAACCTGGTTGATGACTCGGTGCCGACTGCGAAGCGATGAACTAGGCCAGAGTCCGCTGGCTCGGCATGAACTGGTGGCTTTTTTAGCGATGAGCGAATGAGCGAATGAAGCATCCCATGGGCCATTTCCAGTCATCTTTAGACAGGTATATTGCATTTTACATAGAATCATAGTAATGTATGAATTCATAAGCATAGTAGATTTACTCTGACTCGCAACATCGCAGTATCCAAACAACCGAGTCAACCGACAGGACCGACAGCAGGATCAACAGCAGATCGATTGAGCCAAACGATGCGCTGAGCTTGGATGAGTTGCCAAGAGGCTCTCATCAAACTACGAGTCACTAAGAGGCCAACTCCCAGGGTCCAGTGGGTCTAGCGCCGAAATGTATTCCATACAGAGGACTCTGTTTTCCATAGTTGGTGCATGTCTCATTTTTGTTGTCCTTGCGTGTTGCCCCTTTTCGTTGAGCCGCACAGTTCCTGTTTGTTCCGTCGAATCGTGGCCTTTGCCTGCACACGCCCGGCCTCAGATGCTCCATCGAGGTTTCTTGGCTAGTTGATCTTTCCTCTGAAAGGAGCTTGGCTCATCTGTTGCCAAGATAGAAGTCAATTCTACGTAACTAGACAGAATGGGGGACTATGAATATCGAATGTGCAAGGTATGCAATCTATGACTGATGTCTACAAATACTCCAGGATAATGCTATCCCACATAAAGCCATGCCACCGGCTGGCCTTGCTCACGGCAAAGTCAATCGAGTTCCAGCCAGGCTGCAGTTTCCCTTCGGGGATTTCAAACTGGAACAACCGCCACTCGCCGGCGGTCGTGGCCGACCGATACAGACAGGGATCGTTTGGCAGAGTGGTCAGGTTTCCGATTGGACTGGCCGCATCGCCATTCAGGAGAATCGTCGATGTGGTTCCCGATGAGTACCCGGCCAGGGAGACAGTCAGAAGAGCAGCCGAGCTCTTGGCCGCCTCGAAACGGATCGACCATGTTCCCAACGCGGCCTGTCCGAAGCACCAGTCCGCGGGCTTGCTCTGGCCAATGGTATAGGTCAGGTTCCCAGGACAATTGGCAACCAGCGCGTGCTGGTGCGGAGCGCCGCCGTACTGGAACCCCAGCGACTTGCGGTCAAAGTCGCCGACCTGGAAGATCCTCGTGCGCGAGGGGACCTCCCATTTGAGCGTGCCCAGCTTGGCCGTGTGCGACTCTCGCACCGTCACGTCGTTCTGCAGGAAGGATGTGGCCACGTCGGCGAGCTGGCCGCCGTTCGACCATGCTTGCAGCCCGTAGTCGCCGGTGCGCACGTCCTCAAAGGTGAACCTGCCCTTGTCATCGGTCTGGCCGGTGTAGTAGTAGGTCGTGCCCATGTCCAGCGCCGTCTTGTTCGGGCGATTGTCACCCAGGAAGACCGATGCGCCCGCAGCAGGTCGGCCGTCGGAGAGAACCAGGCGGCCGGAAACGGAGCCACGAGACTGGTAGGCTTCATCCTCGAACCATTTGTAGGGCCATGCCTTGAACTCGTCAGCTGCGCGGGCGGCGGCGTCCGTTTTGGATCCGTCGTTCTGTTCGCCGTGTCAGCGCACATCTGATAGATTTCTGATGACAAAACAATACCAAGTACCACAGCCACGGCCCCCAGACCTTGCCGTCCGGAAAGACATCGTTGGACGAGACCATAAAGTGTGTGCCGTGGATCATGTTGAGCTGCACCGCATCGCCGGTCGAGCTCTCGCGATGCACCATGAGTTCCTGCTTGAGATGGTTCCCGTTGTAGTAGTCTTTGCCCGGATTGATGTACCACGAGCCAAACTCATCGCCATAGACCCCGTAGTAGTCCTGATCGCGGATCCACGCCGTCCAGTCATACTTGGTAATGTAGGACCCGTCGGCCAGCTGCCACGTCTCGTCCTGGACCTTGGTGCCGCTGGCGATCTCCGCCAGCGTGGGAAGCGCACCGTCTTTGATGTTTGTCCGTCCGTTGGGGAAGCTCGTGTTGTCCAACCGCCACAGCGTCCGGAACTCACCCAGCGTGGGGAGGGCATGGTTGACAAAGTACTGGTACGCGCCGACCAGGTCTTCGAAGATCACCCAGTGGAAGTCGCCCTCCTTGGCGGTGAATTGGATATCCAGGAAATCTTGGCCCTTTGTTTTTCCTTTGCGATAGATTTTCGCTGATGTCCAGTTCAGGTCGGATTGCGCGCCGTCTGTCGTCGCTGTAGTTGGTAAATGGTCAATTGCAGTGGCAGAATGTCACTCACTGTAGCTGACATAGTGGCCCACAGCCTTCCCTACCAAATCCTTGCCTTTGTAGTAGAGCTTGACACCGTACTGCTGCCCAATGGTGACATTCCACAGATCGTTTCCGATGATATGCGTGGAATCGTCAACCTTTTGCAGAAATGGACCTTTGGCGTGTACGCCAGCCGCCAATGTCAGACTCAAAAGGGATGAGAATCGCATGCTGATCGATTCCTCCGCAGGGATGCAAGGATGATTCTGTCCTTGGCAACATCAGGGCAACAAGTATTTGTACCCCAGATACTTTCCCCATGTTTTAAGGATGCCAAGTTCCCTTCGGGGGAAGATTACCACGAAATGCGGGGCGTGGAGACCGAGGCGCCGATGCTAATTGTATGAATGATGCCAATGGTGGAATTATTCCCCCATTTCCCCGGATTTTTATTCTTTGGCTAGGCTTGAGGAGAGGTATCATTGATTAGAAGAAATCCTGGAAAGTCTCTTCGGGGTATTTGAGAGCGTCGTTCGCCAAAGAGGATGCACTTGTCCCGAGCCTGCTGCTGAAGCCGAAGAAGTGACCATTTCTGATAAATTCTATTCATAGCAAGCAGATCGAGTAGTCCTATCATAAAGTCCGCATAAAAATACACTGTCCTTATGCATAGGCCCGGGTTCAGACGCATCCTGAAGACTCGTATTGCTGACGTGTTCTTTGCTAGCCCGAGGCTCTAGATACGAGAATTGCTATGAATAGTAGCGAAAGAGGCCATCGTCTAAGGTTAAATAGAATAAGCATTAATACTCCATCAGAGTGTCCACTTTGCTGTTTGGTGGACTCCATAACGCTGGCTGCTCCAGACTCCAGAGACCCCAGTTATATACCAGTGATATCAAATTATCGATCACATGCCCATGACCGCTACGCAGGAAGACTGGACGATAAGGGATAGAGAAATCTACCAGGGAGAGGGAATAGGATGCCTGATCAGTGTATCCTGCCAGTAATAAGACCCCGCATTCCAGGGGCCCGACTTAGGCTCAACTTAGATTTTTGAGTAATCCAGGGAATGACCAATGAATATGAGGGATTGTCGATCAGACTCCCAGTGCGGCCGAGTGCACGTGGGTTTCCATTCCATTTCCCCATCCGTCTCGTCCCCGACTTTATCTCCTGCCCCAAACCGATTCAGTCTGGATCTCCGGCTCAATCTAGAGCGCCGTGGCCCATATTGCGTTCAGCCTGTCTCACTCTGGTCCATTCTGTCTCAGCTGTGAATGTTCCACCCTCAAGGCGAAGCACATTTGAAATTGGACATCAGTCTGTAGTCGTAGGTCTAAGAAGTACGGAGTACATCTAGATAAAATGTACTCGAGGATAGGCCTGCATGAACAACACACCCTGCATTGTCCCTGGTATTCAACTCGGAGTATTACCCCCGGTCTTGTCCAACCTTGCCCTGTTCTATTTTAAAATCGAGTCCTCGTCCCTTGTCCAGGACGCTCTAAGGCAGGAGGCAGAACACATGAGCCGTCAGATCAGAATAGCAACCAAGCGCACGACACCAGGACAACTACTTTTCGTATTTGGGCGCATCGACTGCGTTATCCTATGGTGAGACGCAGCTGGAGGATCAGCCAACGTTACATTCCCAGCAGCCACACAACCCTGTTCAGAAAGGTTCTCCGTGAAGGAGCGTCAGATCGAGAACCGACCTGATAAGCGATACGACGGGCTCCCGTGTCCCCAATTAATTGCATGCATGCTGAGTGGCAGACTGGCGAGGGTTATCTGTCAAGCCTACTTGATAACCAGCACGCTAGCACGGTCAGACCAAAGGGCTTATCGCAAGCTAAGCCTTTCAGCCATCTTATTGGCAGACAGAGCATGCGTTTAGATTGAGGTGGTGTTGTGCTAGAAAGACTGTAGGTTCTGTTGGCCGTCTTTATATTACTCCTGCTCCTGATTGTTCTTGTCCTTCCCGTTGAATCACTCTGAATCTTCTTGATTCTATCACTTTTGCTGCTTTTTACCTTTCCACATCACCATGGAGGCTCCCACCTACGAGTCTTCCGGTAGTAGCCCCAATAGGACCCATGAAAAGGAAGGAGGTATCCATTCGACTATCGCTGTCGACCACGACCATGGCGCCGATACCGACCTCCACCGCTCCCTAAGCACCCGCCATCTCACCATGATTGCGCTGGGCTCGTCCATTGGTATGGGATTATGGCTGGGAAGTGGTACTTCGCTGGTCAACGGTGGTCCTGCCGCCATCTTCATCGGATACCTGCTCAGTGGAACGATGATCTGGGCGGTTTCGCATTCCATCGGTGAGATGGCCGTTGTCTATCCGCTTCCCTCGGCTTTTGTGCAATGGTCATCCATCTTTATCAGTGAGCCGGCTGGATTCACACTGGGTTGGAGCTACTGGTTTCAGTTCTTCATCACCTTGGCCAATGAACTGCAGGTTTGTCTTCTTCAGTCTGGGTTAGGGTTCGATCTGACTGGCCATAGGGCGTGGTCACCGTCCTCAACTTCTGGACAGACAAGGTGCCTACCGCTGCGTG